ACTGAAGACTGGACACTTCCAGGGGCCATGTTCTTCCTAACAGTAGTCAAAGCAAGCTCTCTGTGGATGGTACCAGTCTCACAGAGCTCGTCAGCCATCTCAGCTGAAGCCAATAATTGAAAAACAACCACCATAGCTTTGATCTAATGGAATGAATCCTTCTGACATAGAAGAAGTTCACAGGGTTCTTGAGAAACTTTGTCAGCAGCAGCGCTGCCTTCCGCTTGGTCTGAAGGGTTGGAGAGATGTGCTATGTGAAGGAGTTAACTAGCACATGCTGGCTTGGAAGATAAGGGAGTGACACATAAGCCAAGGCACTCAGTGGCCCCTGAAGCTGGAAGCACACCTCAACTTTCAACAGTGCAGAACAGGAAATCAGTTCCACAACCACAAGGAAGTGAATTCTGCCAACAAACTGGGAAAACAAGCAACAGATTCTCTCCTAGAATATCAACAAGAGAACACGTTCTGGCAATATCTGTATCTAACCTGAAGACGCCTTGCTATACCTCTATACATACATACAGTTGTTTGATGACAAATCTCTGCTACTTTAAGACACATTGTGGGTGGTATCTTGTAAGGCAGAAGTGAAAATTAATAACTATTAAATACATTTGTTTTTTATTCTGTGTATGGTCATTCCAACATCTGCAATCTTCATAGGCCTAAATATCTGTTAAGTTTTGATGGCTTCTTCTCCAGTCTACTTTATTCTGTACATTTTGTAATTTTTACATTACTCATTTCTTTAGAAGATTATCTTGGAAATGCTTTGACTGTGGGTTCTCCCTGCATAGGGTTCATCTGGTGTCTGCTCAGTGATCATGAATATGGAACTACATTAAATTACAGGAGGAGGGTTCTGGACTGCACACATGAATTCTGCACCCCAAGCTGTGTTGGAATCCCTTAGGCTTCTGAATTCTAAGGGCAGGTGTGCACCTGTCCATCAGAGGCAAGGGCTACAGTAGGCCATGTCCCTGAGGGTCCCCCCACTGCCTCGTTTGCTTCTTGCAGACCGTGGCCCCCCACGAGATCCCTCCAGGATCTTCCCACAGGACTCCACCCTGAGCCAGCTCTAGGCTTTGTCTCAGGTCTGCAGCTTTGTCCCTGCTCATTCCTCAGAGTTTCTGATTTCACTTCACCTTTGTGGGGAGCAACCCGGACTAGACTAAGTTACTCGAATTAAGACTTATTCTATGCATCTGCTCTCCCACAATATGGCGCTGGGAGAGGAGAAAACAGCTTCTACCCAGCTGCCTCCAGTTCAACCAATAAACAGCAGGACCTGCTCCTGATTGGAGGAGAGCAGCGTACTCGGCGTGTGGGCAGCAGAGTTGGGATTGGCAGAGGAGGACTATAAAGGAGGAGAGAGACGGCATGCACGAGGAACATCTAAGGGGAACATCTAAGGGGAACACCTGTGCAGCCCCCGAGAGAGCCGGCCGGCGGTGTGCCGCTCCCCTGCGGAAGTGGGGAATGTGGCCAGGGGGAACTGCCCTTCCACGGAGGTGGAAGGGTCAGTAGCCAACCCGGGAAGGACCAGCAGCAAACCCGGGGAGGGCCGAGCAGACGAAAGAACAGCGCAGGGTCCTGTGTCGTTCCTCCACGAAGAGGGGGAGCGACAACCTTTGTCTTCTCTAGCTCAGAAAAGCACTTAAAACCAAGGTTCTTTTTAATGGCCATATTTGTTAGAGACTTTCATTTACCACCAGAAAGACATGGGACCCATGGTGCAATTGTTTAAAACTATCCCAGTGTATTTTCCCAAAGTGCAATGACTCATTCCACTGCCCGCACCACCAAGGCTTCACTACCCTACAGAAAATTCTTCACAGAGTGAGCTCTGTCATCTCACCTCATAATGCACCAAACAAGAATCACTGTTGACGGTGCTGATATTTAAGAAAACCAAGTAGGAGACTGCAGACAAACGTTTCACAGCCCCACTCCCTACTTTCTGAACACAAAATGGCAGCACCATATAAAGATGTATCTCTACACAAATACAGAAGCAAACCTGTGCATTCTCCCTCCTTCCAGAAGTTTTCTGAACTGAAGATCCACGTTCCTGTGAGGACAGTTAGTGGTCTCCATCTCCAGGCTTCCATGGGAGGGGACTGCTGCAGCAACTGCTTACAGTTCTTTTTATTTGTTTGTTTTTACCACACTGTGAGTATGTGGACCAGAGTAATAACTGTTTATCTTGATGGTTTGCTTGGAATTAAGCACATAATAGGTGCTGGGTAAACATCTGACAAACTTAATCTACAAGTGAAGATGTCCAGTAACGAGGAATGCATTTGTAAGACAAGCGCACGTAACTGCACTGTACATGATTTCAGATTGCATTATTCTCTGACTAACGCTGGGCACAACGGTGCTCCTTTAATTTTGTACTGGTCACACCATTGGTGAAAGATCTTTCAAACTGAACTTCTGGCATCAAACAACTTGTACTTCTTTATTTTTTTGTCTATCATCTGATTGATGTGTTTCATGGAACAATGAATGAATGAGTTCTGATTCTAAAATAAAAGTGGCTTTAAGGTGTATTTTACCTAGAGCCTTGTTAATGACATGGGGATATGCCAGGTGAAAGGAAATGCTTAAAGAGAGGAGACAAAGTCTGAAACCGAGTGAGACAAAAGGTTGCAGAGCTGTGTTGCTAAGGGCAGGGATGAACAGCCTTTATTCTAAGCTACTCACCTGAAAATAACGTCAACACTGCATTTTCAAACAAAGAAACAAAAGAATCCAAAACAAACAAAGCTTTGAGATTTCAGAGGTAGACATAGGAGGCCAGGTCACATCTTCTCACATGTATTTTCAAACTCATACAGTGTTATTTTATTCAAAAAGGTCCACCTGAGGGTTATTTTTAAAATGCCAGCTCCTTATTCTATTTTTACATTAATTCCTCCAAATAAATAATACAATCCAACATCGTTAGTAAATGTATTTAACGAGTTAGGACCCTATCAATCTGATCCCTTCGCTCTAATCTCCACGTCGTATAGGATGCACAGATCTGGGTCCCAATACTTTAAAGTGCACAGAGAAAGCAAACTCACCTTGCTCTCCATCAATACAGTTCACATTCCTTTCCATCTCCCTTTGGGACATCGTCCCCTCGTTATAGGAGAAAAGATAAACCATCTGCTCTCCCTCACACAAGTGATCCTGCCGACTCCCCTGCCACAGACACTGGCGTGCATGGTCACCCCACGTATTCTGACGGCAAGACGCAGAGCTTCCTCTGCTGCCACTAACAGGACCGGCTGCCTCAACCAAACAAAGGGTCCTTGCACTCACCTGCAAGTGTGCAGTCCAGCCCAGCACTGGGCAGGCACGGAACACGAGGGACAGGGAACTCTCGGGAGGCTGCAATGGTCACTACGACCTACAGATCAGGCCAGGCTCCTCCAACTACAGATGACCGATCCCACGGCACCTTCCTCTATCCTGCTTCATGTCCATGCGTCCCTCGAGCAGAGCTCACGCCTAGATCTTTTCTGCTTCCAGTGGTGGTCACTGCACCACCAAGACTTCCCTGCCTCTTTCTAACCTGCCATAGCTCAACTCCGAGTTCTTCCAGCTCATTTACCTACGTGTAGAAAACCCAGACTTGGGTGTCTGATGCAGCCCAGCTAGTAACCACGCCACTCAACAGCTGCCTAACCCGACAGAAGCTTTACCTTCACCACTGCAACACGGGACTAAAGATAGTGACAAAATAACCTAATAATAATGCTACTTCATGGCATCACTGGAAGACCGAGAGGCAGAAAGCACATGAAGTGTTCAGAACGGTGAGTGCTGGCACTAGAATTGAACAAACAGCATTATTATTGCTGTTATTAGTACATTCATGGCATGGCATGCCCCCCTCACTCCAGCCACACTTCCTCAGGCATTCTGGTGTCTCCTAACAGTTCATAAAATCCAGAACCACAAGGCCCAGTACCACTGGTGTCTGCACAGTGTATCTGTGTCCCTACACAGTGTATCTGTGTCCATACACAGTGTATCTGTGTCCCTGCACAGTGTATGTGTGTCCCTGCACAGTGTGTCTGTCCCTGCAAAGTGTATCTGTGTCCCTGCACAGTGTATCTGTGTCCCTGCACAGTGTATGTGTCCCTGCACAGTGTATCTGTGTCCCTGCACAGTGTATCTGTGTCCCTGCACAGTGTATGTGTGTCCCTGTACAGTGTGTCTGTGTCCCTGCACAGTGTGTCTGTGTCCCTGCAAAGTGTATCTGTCCCTGCACAGTGTATGTGTGTCCCTGCACAGTGTATCTGTGTCCCTGCAAAGTGTATCTGTCCCTGCACAGTGTGTCTGTGTCCCTACACAGCGTATGTGTCCCTGCACAGTGTATCTGTGTCCCTGCACAGTGTGTCTGTGTCCCTACACAGTGTATGTGTGTCCCTGCACAGTGTATCTGTCCCTGCACAGTGTCTGTGTCCCTGCACAGTGTATCTGTGTCCCTGCACAGTGTATCTGTCCCTGCACAGTGTCTGTGTCCCTGCACAGTGTGTCTGTCCCTGCACAGTGTCTGTGTCCCTGCACAGTGTATCTGTGTCCCTGCAAAGTGTATCTGTCCCTGCACAGTGTGTCTGTGTCCCTGCACAGTGTATCTGTCCCTGCACAGTGTATCTGTCCCTGCATAGTGTCTGTGTCTCTGCACAGTGTCTGTGTCCCTGCACAGTGTGTCTGTCCCTGCACAGTGTGTCTGTGTCCCTGCACCGTGCTTTTCCCGTGTTTTCAGAGAGGGCTCTACCAGGACATGTCATCATCACCACGCAGCCTGCTCATTTTTAAATTTGATAAACGTGGAAATGCTAGAAGCAGCAATATGATTGAGTGCCTATCATGGACCAGAACATGGCAGGCTTCTTGGTAACTAGAAATTGTCTGAATTTTCTATTTCACATGGCTTTCCCACATACTAAAATCCCTGAGCTTCATACATGAACACACACAAGTAAACAGCTTACCTTTAGGTTGTCCTGAACTCAGCTCCAGAAACGATCCAATGTGGATATCTACAAGACAGTAATTACAAAATTAGAGTTAACTAACTTGAAGATGAAACTGTTTTTGTTTTTATGAAATTTTGTGAAATGTCCTGCAAAAGATGACTTCACTTTTAACCCCGCAGAAGTTTCAAGTTGGTGCTTTGGTCTGGACAAGAAGGTTTTGGCATATTCATAAGTTTATTTATCGAATCAATAAAGACATTTAAGCTTAGGAAAGTTTGGCTCTTTCTTATTTTTCAAAGCCTGGTAAAGATTTATAATCAAAATAACATCTGATTCAGCATTACAGACTTCTATTAAAAATTAATGTATCAAACAGAACTATGATGATATCACTGCTGAACTCGTCCACTTTTCTCATCCAGAAGTGTATGAACGCTAGGTTGGAATTATTTTATTTTTTTGCAGATTCAGATAGGTTTTAACCAATTGAAATATTATGTCATAAAACAAAACTTTAAAAAATTACCAACTGCTTAAGTGACAAGGCAAAATTATCTCAGTAGTATTCTGAAAATACTTATTGTCACAGATGTCTAATGAAAAATTAATAGAAGGAAGAGAACAGAAAGAAGAGTATGAGGTTTCCACCTCCCAGTTACTTTCTTATTTACACTGCCACTCTAACGGGAAGGCCTTCTTTTCTCCTGAGAAAATGTGAAATCAAATGTAGAAACCAAAATATAAACAGGCATTAAATAAATCAATAAGGGTTCATTCTGACTGTAATAGAGAAGAAATGAGAAGATACAGGGTACACACAGAGAAAATGTAATTTGGGGCCCTTAATGCTGCTGTATGCACCTAATAATGTTGCTTTTCGATTTCTCTGTCCCAGTGACTCATTCCCACTCAAGACAGTGATTAGGAGAAAGGCAGAGAAAAATCAAATTCTCCGATGGACAGAAATAACAATGCGCCGTCCTCCTCTTAGCCCATAAAAGATAATGAAATAATGAAACCTGCACCCCATTCAAGTTTGCTCCTGGCACACAGGCAAGAAACATGCGCTTCTCACACAACCGGCTGGGAGAGAGAGGAGCGTCCTCCTCGCCACCTCTGACACAGACTCACCCAGAGACCGGGGCCAGGGGCAGGGCCCAGGCTGGGCGGAGATTTCAATTTCCTGCTGAGTGTTCAGGACAGAGGCTCAGGTGGGGCAGGGGCCCACGTGTGACAGCACAGCTCTGTCCTCTGGCGGCTTACAGGCAGGAGACTGGAGTGTGGGAGTGCAGGGCCCGCGGCCCCTGGCGGCCTGCACGCAATGTCTGCACACCTGCCTTGACTCCTTGGCCTCATCAGAGGCCTCGGCCAGGCAGGCCTGCCGGTTCACCTGCTATGCCAGTCTCTGCCTCAAAACTCCAGAAGCCCAGTGTCGTCACTGCTAGGATCCCAGAGTCACTATTCTCTGCACTCCTCCCCTACATTTTAAGGCTCTTGAGTATGTTAAGACCCACAAGCTCCCACTTCAGCTGTGCATGGGTGAGAGAACCCTGCAGACAGTGGTCCCTTGGCTAGTGAGTGTGTGGTCGCTGTCTCGTGTCCCAGCACGCCTGACTCCCTACAAGGCCACACTGCCTTCGTTCTGAGAACAGATCACCACAGGGCTTCTGTAAAGTTCTCTACAACAGAAAACTGCCCCCTTCGGTGCGATCATGTATTCCAGCTTCTCCACAATGGGCCCGGCCCTCCAACCACACCAGCAGCCCGGTCTTCTCTTTCAGGGTACCCTCCTTGCATCCACGAAACGAGGTTTGGTCACTTTCCTCAAAAAATGGCACTCTCCACGAACATATGAAAACAGACAACTTTAAGAATCACTGTCAAATTATATTTTGCATGTTGTACTTCCTAAAACTACATTGTACTAGAAACTAAAATTCTTGGCTGATGTTTTAGAACATTAACCTGAAATATTCTAAGTCCCAACAGTCCTGAGTTCAAACACAAATCATACCTATGTCTCACTATCCTGTTTTCTAACTAGGGTGTGTATGCAGCGTGCTACCTGTCCCCTTCGCAGATGCCCGGCCTACACACACTGTGACATCGGTGCCTTTCCATCATCATATTCTCCAACTTGGATAGCGCCTTCCCATTGTGCCCAAACCAAGGTTTCTTTCTTAGGCAGCACTCCCTGTATACAAGGATTTCAGAGACCAGCTTTGTGGTGCAGCAGCCTGTAACAGGGCAAGCCACACCACAGTGCCAGTGCCAGCTCTGGGTGCTCCAGCTCCACCTAATGCCCTGCTAACGTGCCTGGGGGGTATCAGATGATGGCACAAGTGTGTGGGTCCCTGCCACCCACGTGGGAGAATGAATGCAGTTCCAAGCACCTGGCTTCAGCCTGCCCATTCCTCGCCTCTCTGGCCAGCTGGGAGTGAACCAAAGAATGGAAGGCAGGTCTCTCTCTCCCTCCCCTTGCCCCTCTCCCCTTCCTTGAGGCTCTCCAGTGGGGTAGGGGGTCTTGGGCCCCTCATCCATAGGTAGAATGTTCCTCCCAAGCTGGCTGCCAGCTGTGGCTGGAAAGCCTGTCTCCAGACCAGCTGGCAACCCCCCCCACTACAGCTTCTTGCGCCGCAGGTGTGACCTTGCGGCTTTAAACCACACCTTTAAGTTAACTGCAATCTTCCACCCAGAGCCAGCAGAGGAGAGGGCTGAGCCCCCAAGGAGAATTGGGCTGTCTCCACGGAACCCTTGCTACCTCCATGAACCCAAGCCAATCAACATACCAACGGGCACCCCCACAGAATGACCCAGTGAAGAGACGGTGATGCCTCAGAAGCCCTGGCCCTTCCTGAAAGCCAGTTCCTGCTCCGGCACTCCACCTGCTCCCCTCTCAGACCAGACGCTTTTCTGTTCCTTGCCAATCCAATAAAAGTTTCTGCTTCTTGGCAAATCATTTCCTGGTTTTCCATTTCTATCCTGAGCTGAGGGAAAGAACCCATGAGACTCACTCCAGCAACCATCCTCCCCTCCACCACTGATGCACTCCTCCTCCTCCTCCGTGGCCATTTGGGGAGTGAACCAGAGGACAGAAGGTCAGCCTCTGCCTCTCTCTCTCTCTCTCTCTCTCTCTCTCTCTTTCTCTCTCTCTCCTGCTTCTCCCCCCTCCCATTTCTCCAACCATCCTCATTCCCCTCCCTGACCTCCCCCTTTTCCTCTCTGTTGCTTCATGAAATAAACAAGTAAATCTTTTTAAGAAAACATCTCAGACTGGTCCCCATGATGTCAAATTCCAATATGCCTGAACGTGCTGTCTGCTTGACTTTGCTATGGCTTGGGGAAAGCCGTGCTCCTGGTAGAACGTGGGCAGAGAGCACCCCATGCACACCGCAGTAGTAATGAGCTACACCCCCAAAGCACCATGATGCAGAAGGCGACATACAAACAGGTCTCACTATTATCTGAAGACTTTTTTAGGAGAAAGATACAGGGTCCAGACGATCGCAGGAAACCAGACGAGGTTTTAACTCTAGGCTTGCTGTTGGCTGCACCTGCTCTGGGGGGTTCAGATTCACCAAGGGCAGGAGCAGAAACAGGAACCAGCCAGCTCTGAACTGTGCACAGTCCAGGCCCGGGTGTCTCGCTTTTTCATGCACCTGCTCCTTGCTATCAATGACACTTTTATATTCAGAGTCTTTTTTTACAAGAGACTTAACTTCGCTCATTTTCATTCCATTTTGAGGATTTTCTAGGTTGAATCACAAAGAATTTAACTTCCGTAGCAACATTCACAGGAATGCTTCACTTTCATGCCCCAACTCCAAGGAAACACATTAAAAGGACGTCTGAGGTGACAGCAAACTATCTGAGGATGTACTTATAATTAAGCTGCAACCCCTGAACATAGACAGTTAGGACTTCGGAAAGCTCAATAGGTAGGAAGTAAGCCCCCGGGGCTTGCTGTTTGTTTTCTCACTCTGTAACTAATTATTCCTTTCGTTCTACCTGCACATCCAACAGGACAGCAGAGAACCAACTTCCGATTAACAGTTTCCTTAGCAGACTCTTTGTAAGTGCCTGAAGGGAAAAGGTGAGAAAGGTGAAGTCCTTGCTTGTTTGAAAAATCAGAAGTCGCACCCAAACGCCACCGTTAAATAAACGGATGGGGAACTGAGCACTACACAGACTTTTCAAGGACACAGTAAGTGCATCTGACAAATCTTACTTAATGAACTCAACTGCACCAATAAAATCATTTTCTCTTTTTTGTTGTTATGTCAAGAGCTTTTACCATTTCACTTAACAAAACATTTTATGACTTCTCTCTGGTGTATCTGAAGTGCCAAGGACACGATGCTCAGGTTTCGGGGCCATCGCTAAGTAAAATAAAGGCTACTGGAACCAAGCACAGTGATAACACAGAAGCCGATAACCACAACCGCATCTCAGGAACCCACGGCAGGCAACACACAGGGAGTGGATACGCTGAGCAGAAGGGCTGACTCACCCGGAGCAGGATACAGGGTGACACAGCACGCGGCTGAAACTCATGTGTTTCTCGTTTCTGCAATTTTCCACTTAATATTTTCAAAGCATTGTGGCCCACGGGTAACTGAACTCTAGAAAACCAAAGTGGCTGTGCTGGGGGATGGGGGTTGGAACACTGTGTAGGTAACATTGCTCCCTTTCTTGCACTCATGCCCCAGGAGGAGATCACCACCATGAGAACAGAGGGAGACCGTACACACATCGAGGAGGTGTCAAGGTAGAAATCGACAGGGAACTGGTTGCATGAAGGGAATGAAAACCACAGTAATGAAGACACGTGGTTGACTGAAAGTGTGGCTGCGTGGTCCCCTGAGCATGTGAGACAGTGCCTGCAGGAAGAGGCGTGACCACGTTTATTCAAGGGCGCAGTGAGAGTTGATGATGACATCAAAAAAGGAAGTGGCAAGGAGAGGGTGCAGGCTACAGTCAGCGGGCTGGGGGCCACTTCCCACAGAGGTGTGAGAGTTAACGCCCAGAGAGTCAGGGGGCATGAGTGGGGACACCGTAGGACT